CAGTAGCCTCATCAGTATCATCGTCATCATCAGCAGCATCATGAGCATCATCATCAGCATCATCGATATATCAATAGCACCATCAGCGGCATCAGCATCAGCATCAGCATGACCATCATCATCATCATCAGCATCATCATCAGCATCATCATTGCCGTCGTCATCATCATCAGCAGCATCGTCAGCATCACAATCATCAGCAACAACAATACCACCACCATTGTCATCATAATCACTGACAGCATCATCATTATCATCAACATCATCGTCGGCATCAGCATCACCTTCATCAACAACAGCATCAGCATCATCATCATCACCACCATCACCAGCATCGTCATCGTTAGTATCATCAGCGTCATCGCGATCAGCCTAATCAGCAGCAACAGCAGCAATAGCATCATCTTCAGCATCATCATCAGCACCATCATCAGTATCATCAGCCTCATCAACATCGTCATCATCAGCATCATCATCAGCATCAGCATCAGCATCAGCATCATCATCAACAGCAGCAGCAGCATCATCAGCAGAATCAGCATTCAGCATCATCAACATCCTCATCCTAATCATAATCCTTATCCTCACTCTCAGCCGCATCCTCCTCATCCACCACCACCTTCTCCTGGATCCCTCTCCTACTCCCCCTCATGCTCTCCCTCCTCCTCCTCCTCGCCCCCTCCTCCTTCTCCTCCTCCTCCTCCTCCCCTTCCACCTTCTCCCCCTCGTCCTCCTCCTCCTCCTCCTCCTCCTCCTCCTCCTCCTCGATCCCTCCATGCTCCTTCCCATCCTCCTCCTCCGCTTCTTCCACTCCTTTCCCTTATGAAAAACTTCCCCCTGCCGCACCTCCAGGCTGGTCGAAAGGGCGGGCCGGGCGTTTCGCCTGAGACTTCCTTACAATTGATGGCCCTAAAGCATAAAACATTAGAACAGCTTCACGGATGGAGGACGGGCCGCTTCCAAAATGAGGCTCTCGCTGTAGCGCCGCGCACAGTCGTTTGACAAATGCAGCAGTTTCACAGATTGAGGGCAGGCGGTTTTCAAAAGGTGGCTCTCGCATTGGGCCGCGCTCACTCATTTTAAATATTTGCAAGAATTTCAGGGATTGAGGGCATGCAGTTTTCCAGATATGGCTCTCGCCTCCGCGCCGCGCACATTCGTCACAACAAAATCACAAGAGTGTCACTGACTCCCACGGTGAACAAACCAGAAACGGTGTTTAGGAACAGTATTTGATTGTAAAGGCGCAACAGTTACATTGATTCGCCGTGTTGAAGTCCCAAGAATGGTGTTCTGGCACGATTCAGGATCGTCAAGACGCAACAGTCAAGTTGATTCGTAGCGTAGCGCGCTTCAAGATCTTCTAACGGTTGTCTCCCAACGGCGCATTTTTCCCGGTGGAAATGAATCATTGTAGATGCCTCTGAAGAGTGAGCTTGGGGGAGGGTTTATTCCAACATCGTTGATGCGTCTTGGGTTTACACTGGTCCTCCTCCTCCTCCTCCTCCTCCTCCTCTTCCTCCTCCTCCGCCTACGTACTCTTCCTCCTCCTCCTCCTCCTCCTCAGCCTCCTCCACATACCCCCCCCGCGCCCTCTGACCCGAGACTGTGGCAGAGCCATCTGCGCGTCGTCGTCGTCGTCGCAATCGTCGTCGTCGTTGTTGCCGTCATCATCGTCGCCTTCAGGGTCGGCGGCACCGGCCGTAAGGCCTTAACAGTAAGCCTGTGCCATGACGGTGATGATAGAGAGTGCGCGCGCAGAAATCTGGCGAAATCCCTTTGGATAAACAGTAAACAATTGTGTTGGCATGCTTTGGCACAACCATTCGAAAAACAAGAATGGGCAATGAACTTTGATATGTGCGCGAGAGTGTGGCCCGCAGTGTACTAGCCGATACGGACTCAGTGAGCATGTGCTTACAAGAGCACAGCGCGTGCTCCACATAGCGCATTCGACAAGGATGCACGGGCGGTCAAAAAGGGGACTGGGACTGGCCTCCGCGTAGGGGTAGTGTCTAGTCTCCTCTACGGAAGAGAACCTATGGGGCGCAAGATATTGGGTTCAAATTATGTGGTGGAATCTAAGTTTTACACTCTTTGGGGTGAGACATGAAGCATGCGATCCAAGTGGTGCACAGTATGCGCTTCAATCTTCATGGTGCGATACACTAACTACTGCCTACGCGGAACAAGCTGTGTGACACGAACTGCGGGTGTAAAACGCCAACCAGCACACGAGGCGACCACGAGGCCCCCCAGGCGGCCCAACCGAGGCTCGCCCACGACGCCGGCATCAGCACTGACACCGAGTATGCCGCTGTCGTCAGCACTCTCTCGACCCGAACATCGGCGACTCCGCAGGCAACAATGTCGAGGTCGGCGTCGCGCGTCGCTGCCGGGACGCTCGTCGTTGTCGCCGACACCGCTCCGTCGATGACAAATGGGAGAATTACCTTTCAAAGCCTTGGAGGCTTAGACATGGGCACCAACACCGAGGGTTGCCTCACCAGGGGAAGATGATCCTAGATTTTGGTGCGGGTGTTTATATGTCGGCCACTTTGGAAGCCTGAATATTACCACCATCACCGATGATCGGGATCATCTTCCCTCGGTCGGGGCACACCGCCGATATTGGTATTGGTGTCAGCATTTAAGCCTCCGAAAGCCACGTGCCTCGGGAAAGGGGTGTCGACATCGATGGATCGACCGCGCGCCTGCAAGCATCGCACGTCCTCCTTCCGCCGCCGAGCACACTTCCTACTGCCAACCCCCTGCGGCCATCCCCATGGATCCTCCCGCCTGCCCGTCCTTCCCCCTCACTCCTCCATCCTTCGTCAACCCGCTTCCCTCCTCGCTATGACCTTGCGCCCTCACGATCGCTTCCCTGGTCGCCCGCGCCTTCTCAAGCGTCTCAATCATATCAGTGATGAGGCCCTTAACCTTCGCGAAGGGGTCCTGGAGGGGGGGGGAAAGGTGGAACGACAACGGGCCGTCGAGATGGCCCGGCTGTGGTGGCAGTTCACGCAGTCGTAAGAACGGCGCATGTCCCTGGGAGCACCATTCCCCGATGTGCACACTAATGTGAGACCTCACGACTGGCGTCGAGGTCCGTCTAAATAGGTTGGAGCGCACGGGCCGTCGAGATGACCCAGCTGCAGATCTGCTCCCCTACACAGTGGTCGTGGACATCTCCGCATCCTCGTCCGCCCCCTCATGTCTTATGCAGCGGGCGCTCTTCCTCCCTTGCCGCCCTCTTGCGTTGAGCGGCGGACCCCCATCCCTCCCCTTCCTCCCTAGCCTCCCTCCCCTTTGTGCAGCGGGTGCCCTCCCTCCTTCCATTCCTCCCTGAGCCCCCTCCTGCCTCAAGCAGCGGTCGCCCTTCACTCCTCATGTTCCTCTGCCTTCCTCCTGGCTCTTGCGGCGGGGGGGACCTCCCTCTTCAGTCTCGGCCTCCCTCCTGCCTTGAGCAGCGGGCGCCCCTGGGCAACGAGCGTCGGGCGTAAAGGAGTCCTGGGAGGGTGAAGCGGCAAACGGGCCCCCGAGTTGATCCAGCTGAGAATATGGACCCCCCACGGTGGTGGCGTGCGTCACCACCACCCCGTATTGGCTACATTGTTGCCCAACGCAAAAGGAGCCTTTCCTTCTTCCCCTCCTTTTCTGAAGCTCTGGTCTACGTATGAGTATCCTCCTCCCTGAAACGAAAGCAGGACAATCACACACTCAGAGGAGGTTACACTGGAAACCTCTCAGAGCTGGCGGGTCTGGATGGTGTATCGGGCGCCACGGCAATTCCAGAGCGCTCCAGAACGCTATGTCTTCATTCTGGGGGCGTTTCAGAGCGCTCCAAAGGGCTCTGAGAGCGTTAAGGATCGCTCTGGAGCGATGTGTCCTAGTCCTAGGCCTGCCTCACGTCCTCTCCTCCTCCGCCGCCTCCGTACCCTGCCGCAGTATCGCTGTGGCTCGACCAGAATTCGAAATCGTCCCTCAAAGTCAGGCCCCGATCTCGAGAAGCACGGCAAAGCTATGTGCAGCTATTTCGAGCAGCACGTCGCTCGCTCCGAGCCCAAAGTCGTCGGCAAAGACATCATTCCTGTCCGCTGCAGGAAATACAAGGGCCATGGGGAGGGCGAGGGCAAGAAGAAAAGCAGGCTGGCGTTCACAATAAGGTACACCGAGTCGGAAGGGAAGGCTCGGGATCTCATTATAAAGTTCTTGAACATGAATTCGGGCATCAGCGAAGCAGAGCAGTTGATCGAACCAGCACCAAGGGCGCCTCTCGAGAGAGGGGTGGCGCGTCTTCTGAAGGGAATAAACAAGAAGGAGGTGTTCGGGCTAAAGAATTTCGTCATAGAGGGGCGTTCAGCGGTACTCCGCGTCCCGCAGAGTCAGTGGCTAGCGGCAGAATTCCATATGCTTTACCTATTATAGTCATGCTTGGTGTTTCTCTCTCTCTCTCTCTCTTTCTCTCTCTCTCTCTCTCTCTCTCTTTCTCTCGCACGATCTATCTCTATATATATATATATATATATATGTCCCGTCCTCCTGGTCGTGGCTCCTAAGAGAGCTCCGTATAGGCCGAGGCCGCGGCACAAGCCATGAGTTAGCCCCCCTGGCCCTAGACGGCTACCCTCGTACGCATGCGCGGCGTCATAGGGGTTCACCGTCGTTCGGGGGCTTGGATGCTCAGTCTGGGTACCTTCCTGGAGACACTCGATCCACTCGTACGTCGAAGCTGCGTCGAAGGTCCGTCGATGTGTTAATCGATTTGAGTCGACCTTGAGTCGAACCTGAGTCGACCCCGAGTCGAACTTGAGTCGAAGCTAAGTCGAACTTGAGTCGAACTGGGGTCGAACTAGAGTCGAACAGATCTGCTAGATGGGCCCCAGGAAGGTTCCCGAAACGAGCATATAAGGGGGGCGCAGGTCCTGCCAATGGAGGCTGCATGTCTTCCAAGGTTATCCAGCTCCCCTTACGACGGGGTGTGCACAGCTCGTGACCAGCTTCGGCACGAGCCGAACAACTCACGTGAATTCCCGGCGCATCCTCCTCCTCCTCCTCCTCCTCCTCCTCCTCCTCCTCCTCCTCCTCCTCCTCTTCCCCCTCCTCCTCCTCCTCCTCCTCCTCCTCCTCCTCCTCCTCCGCCTCCTCCTCCTCATTCCTCACCCTCCATGGTGGCCTATGGGGCGCAATTAGCTGTTTTTGCCCCAGGCGTGAACGGCACATCTTAGTCGGAGCCTGTCCCACGTCGGCGCAGGCCCTTCAGGCTCAGCGTGAAGGCTGCGAAGGGCCTGCAGGAGAAAGGGCCCTGGGTCTTATCCTCTCTGGTCGGAGTCTGGGGCCCTCCGCGGGACCCCAGGCTGTCAAGAAACGACTCAGCAGGAAGAACAGCAGGTCCTGGGGAAAGCCTCCTGGGGTCTGGGACCCAGCTCTCTGAGGGCCCGCCTCAGCAGCGAGGAATGAGCACCACGTCACCCCTCTCCCTTGCCAAGCAAGACGTACGCACGGGAGGTTCGTGCCGTGCCGCGCCGACGTCGGCTTCTGATACCGCCGTGCAACCTTGAACTGATGAGCGGACAACACGCCTCATACCTGTAGGGGATGCTGACCTGCGCCTCGCGATTTGAGGACGCGCTGTGAACATGGGCGCGGGTTGTCGGAGCCCAAGGGGGGCTCCCATGCGAGTGGGTACCCCGTCCGACAACACGCACCCGCAGCCCCCCAGGGATTTCTGGGGGTCGGCTCAGCATGGGTGCTAGTTTCGACGGCGAGCCTGGGGGGGAAGTGAGAGGGGGCAGGCCTTCTCAGAGGACCGCGGTGCTTCTCAAAAGCACTTGCGCCTTCCAGGAAGCCGTCTATATCTTCGGTGAAGGCTTGGAAGACTTCTCAGAAGGCGCGAAGGGTTCTGAGAAGCACCACCGCATTGTGAGAAGGCATGCCCCATCTCACTTCCTCCCGAATTCGCCGCCGATGGGTGGTTGGCAGCTCATGATGAACGATCGCGGCATTCTGGCAGCACGGATCATTCGATGCTGCTCGATTGCCTTGGGGTGCGGGGCCCGAACTTGTCCAAAAAAACACCTCGCCTCCCGGCGAGCGGCCACCCCTCTGCGAGCGGGTCTCTCTCCCGGACCGTGTCGCGACCCTTCCGTGGCAACTCACGGGAGCCCCCCGTGTCATCTTGCTGACTTTTGCGAATCGACGCTGACTCGACATGAACAGACGCTGGATTGGCGCTTTCGCACCGCTTACCGGGCGCCAGCGCACGACCATGCAATCCAAAAAAGGAGTCCCGAGGACATGCGAGGCTCTCGTGATTTGCTACTCCGAACCAAGCAAGTGGACCGTAAAGTTGTTCAACATTTACTGAGTTCCATTTTTAAATTTGAATATGACATAGAATGTTCAGTTTCAATTTCGAATTTATTATACACATGACAGGGTGCTGTTTCACATGCCACTGAAAAATGTAATCATTCAAGGACCCCCGTCGCGGCACGACGACGAGGCGAGATTGACCCCCGTCGGAGGGGTACACCCCCCACGCTTACCAACAAACCCAGAGTACCGAATCTGACGGTGGCCGCCCCGCATCGTCACTGCGGAGAGCCTCCAGGTCTGCCTCGGCGGACAGGCAAAGGTGCACGAGGGCGGGAAAGAGAGCTCGCAGCGCCCCTCGCTCGGCACGCGAACGAGATAAAGCGGCACGGCATGGTCGAAGTGAGTCGGTCCATAGGTGGTCGGGGGGGAGGCGACAGGGGTGATGGGAAGACGTCGACTGACCACCTCACCGATCATAGCCTGCTGCCCAAGACGCACCCCCGAGTGGCCAGGCACTCCCGCGGCACACGCCCGCGCAGCCGACGCGCCCGCGCAGCATCGCCAACGCGGCCCTGTCTCCCGCGCGGCAGATCTCGCACGGCGGCCCCTCCGCACGTCCACCGCCTCCACGGGTACACCCTGCGAAATGCTTAAGAAATCATGGGTTAAGAAATTCATAGTCTCAGAACTTGAATAAAACAAACCCAGCATATATATTAAAATCTTAAGATTTACATGGAAAGGTTAAGAATAATCGAGAGTCTGGCCGAAAACTCAAGTTTTCTTAAGCATCGCCTGAGGTGTAGAGGAAGAACACCATGCACGAGCGCAGACTTCTGGAGCTCTGCTCGGCTCTCTCGGATCGGCGCTGGGTCCCCCCCCCCTGGCGCGCGGAGCGCGGAGCGCGCCACGTCACGGGCTGCGCCAGAAGTGCCGCCCGGGCGGCCCAGCGCCGATCCAAGCCATCCGTGCGGAGCTCCGAAGAGTGTATGCATCCGCAGGTGTTTCGCAGAGATGGGGCTCCCGTTGTCACTGCAGCAGGCCCTGCAGCCGACGGGCTCGAGGTCCTCTTCGATCTAGTAGGCCCGCCTTCGGAGCCCACACTCGAGGGGTCCGCCCGTCCAGGCCCAAGATCTGCGGTCGGCGATGCATCCGCCGCGCTCTCGGGGCCGAGACCCCCATTGCAGCAACTTTCCTCCGACCCCACTCCGAGGCCTCCTATCCCGAGTCCGACTCGTGCGGCAGGTCCGTGTCGTGCCGACCTGCGCACTGGCCTGAGACCTGTGCAGATCGCTCAGCCTTCTCGAGCGATCGCGACCTCCCAGCAGCGCAGACCGCTCGATGTCGGCCGCTTCCAGTGCCACTGGCGGCGCTAGACGTCGGCGCCGCGCCAATGCGAGCCGTCGAGTAGGAGATCGACTACTGCATTGATTCATCCTGAAAAAAATGTTCGTCGAATGTACGGAACTACGTTTAACGTTCGTTGTTCTGCGATCATGATACGCATGATTCGGAGACTCAACGGAAACAGCAATCCTGGGGTCAAGTGACTATGTAGTCGATCTCCTACTCGAAGCCTACTCTCGGGGGCGCGCAAACATGGATTAGCGATCCATGCATTTGGCGCGCGGGTCGCCAAATCCATGAATCGGGGAAGGTGCCCTCCCCAAAATGCGGCTGGTGCCGCCTAATTCGGCGGCGGGAATCCGCGATCTCCCATGGAAACGGGACCCGTCGCTAACCCACGCCCCCTTGATCCATATTTGCGATCGCCTGACCTCCGCCTCGCTCGGGTACAGTGTCAGCTCTCCACCACCTCGTCTGCACGCTCCCCCCACTGGCCTGTAGGCAGCACCCACCGTCGTCTGCGTGCCTGGTCCGGTGAGCTATGCAATGTGGAATGGCTGCCCTGATAATGCCTGAGACATTACGTTATGACATGCTCTGTTACCCTGCGGAGACCCCATACCTTACGTCAGAACCAGGCGCTCCTTTCGGAGACCCCATTCCGTATTGCGCGTGCTCTTGAACCTCCTGTGCCCTCCTTCACTAGATGCTTGTTGTTTCTCAGGCCACGGGCCATAGCATGAGGTTGCATGTCGCTGGTCGGCTTGTGCCTTGTTCCCCGTTTGTCTAGTGGCCTTTTGATACGCGATGCGGTTGTCACCCGTGGTGTTTTGCGTGGAGAACCCTCCTTCTGGCGGCGAAGCCGGGGGGGAGTGAGAAGGGGCGTGCCTTCCCTACAGAAAAAAAACTGCATAAACATAAACTTTTGGCGCTCCGCGCGGAAGGTCTCTGGCCTTCGGAGAAGTTTTCTGAACCTTTCCCGAAGACACCAGGAAGACTTCTCAGAAGGCGCGAGGGCGTCTGCGAAGCCCCGGGGCCGACGCCTGCGGAACCGACGTCCTCGGACCCCAGCGGGCGTGTGTGCACGTTGGCCCCAGGGGGCCCGACTATATCCATGTCCACCGCCTGCCGAGGCCCCCGAAGATCGATCCCCCAGGCGGTGGTCATGTATAAATCCCCGCCTCGGATGCTCCCACGCCGCCGATCCCTTACCGGAGTGCACGCGCGGAAAGGCAGCAGCTCCTCGCCAGAGCTCTCCGTGACGCGCACCGTCGAGGCCACCTTGACGGGGCGCCGGCGGGAGGCTGCTCTGCAACAGCGCGGTGGCGCCAACGATGGCAAGCACAGAAGCGGAGCGCTTGGAATCGGACGCACGAGGACACACCAGTACCATGTACCTCTGTGAGAGACGCACGTACGACCCGAACATCTTGCACAGAATCTTGTAGCAGATCGTGTAGCAGATCGTTTCCCGAACGGGATGACCAGAAAGCGCCCGCCATGGAGCTTATTATACTATAAGGTTTTCGAACGCGCGCGTCGCCCTTACGTGGCCGACGAGCGTACACTACAAGTATGTTTGAGATGTGCCGACGCGAGCATAGTACAAGTCTCACACATGTGTCAACGCTCGGCATCTCCTCCGCCGACCCCCGCTTGCTGGGGGTGAAGCAGGCGTGTGAGACGTTTGGCTGTCCCCCTCCACCTTTCCCCCTCCCCTGGGGTCCAAAATGCCGTTTAAGGGGGGGGGCGAGCTCCCAAACGCATCCTCTGCGCCTCCGTCCAGAACCCCAAGACGGCCACGAGGTCCAAAACAGAGAGCGCCCAAACAGCGCCAAAACACTCCAATAAAGCGTCAAGATCGCCCGAGGTAATTAGCGCCTCCCAGAGGACCGTCGAGAGGACCCACAAAGCGAAAATCGTCTCATCCCCAGAAAGGAAATGCAAATGTTTAGCATACTCGCCTTCATCTTCCCGACACCGTCAAATGCGGCCCAAGGGATTCCCAAGACCGTTCCAAGACGGCCAATAGGGCCCTAATAGACCCCATGACGGCCTAAAAAGGCCCCAAGACGGCCGCAGAGGCCCCTAGACAGCCCAAGAGAGCCCCAAGAGGGCCCTAAGAGTGGCCCAAGGAGGGGGATACTAACTAACATTTCGAGCCTTTCTCCCCAAGATGGCCCCAATAGCCCCCCCGACGCCACCGAGGCGCCCACAAGAGGCCCGAAGAGGCACCAACGGGAGGCCCCGAAAAGGACCAAAAAACGCCCCAGATGTCCCGAAGAGCCCTACAAGAGACCCATGAGGATCACAGGAGCCCCTCAAATGCATCGAAGAAGCTCCTCACCCCCCTGACAACTTCCAAGATCGTCGCAAGCACTCGCTCCTTCTGGGGAGTCGGCGGAATGGCGCAACCCACTGAAATTCGCTGGCCCAACGGGCCAGAGGCGTGCTAAGATCTCCGGTAACTGGTTAACAATATTTCTAGTTCGCGCGCGCGGGGCGGCCCCTGAGGGTCCCCAGACGAAACGTACCCCGGCAAGGTCCCGGCAAGGTCCCGGGCGGTCCGACTCAGAGATGGTTCTCCTCCTGGGCGCAGCCTTTCAGGCCCCCAGAGCGCGCCAAGAGGGCCCCGAGAGGCCCCCAAGACTGCCCAAGAGGCCCCCGAGACGCCCAAAGAGGGCTCCAAGACGCCGAAGATGACCCCAAGACGGCCCAAGAGGTCTCCAAGTGGCCTCCAAGAGGCCTCACAAGAAGGCCCCGAGAGGCCAAAATGAATAGTTCTACGATGGTTTGGGAAAGATTTTGGCCTTGTCGCCTTTTCGGCTTTCCGATGCTCCAAGACGGCTCAAGAGGCCCCCAAGAGCGCCCCAAGACGGGCCAAGAGGCTTCCAAGAGGGCCCCACGAGGGCCCCGAGACGGCCCAAGAGGCGCCCAAGACGGCCCAAGAGAGCCCCAAGACGGCCCCAAGACGGGCCCAAGAGGGGAACCACGAACCGAAAACTCGAGCCTTCCGCCCCAAGAGGGCCCCAGGAGGCCCCGAGAGGCCCTCAAGAGGCCCCAAAATGCCGCCAAGAGGCCCCCAAGAGGCCCCGGGAGGCCCCCAGGAGGCCCAAAAGAGGCCCCAAGAGGCCCCAGAAGGCTTCAAACATGCCTCCAAGGCGCCCCCGAACGGCTTCTCAAAAGACCCCAAGAGGCCTCCCAAAGAAGCATCTCGACGACGACCCTGTTTGGCTCCAAGAGCAACACAAGATGCCAACGAGAGGCTTCCTCCTCCGCCCCCACCTCTTCCTCCTCCTCCTCCTCCTCCTCCTCCTCCTCCTCCTCCTCCTCCTCCTCCTCCTCATCATCATCATCATCATCAGCATCATCATCATCAGAATCATCATCATTATCATCATCATCATCATCATCATCAGCATCATCATCATCATCATCATCATCATCATCATCATCATCATCATCATCATCATCATCACATCAGCAGCATCATCATCATCATCATCATCATCATCATCATCATCATCATCATCATCATCATCATCATCATCATCATCATCATCATCATCATCATCATCATCATCATCATCATCATCATCATCATCATCATCGTCATCATCACCATCATCATCATCAGCATCGTCAGCATCATCATCATCAGCATCACATCATCAGCATCATCATCATCAGCAGCATCAGCATCATCATCATCATCATCATTATCATCATCATCATCGGCATCAGCATCAGCATCATCATCACCATCATGGTCAGCATCATCATCATCATCAGCATCATCATCATGATCATCATCATCAGCATCATCGTCATCATCACCATCATCATCATCAGCATCGTCAGCATCATCATCATCAGCATCAGCATCATCATCAGCATCATCATCATCACAGCATCAGCATCATCATCATCAGTATCATCATCATCATCATCATCAGCATCATCATCATCATCATCATCATCATCATCATCCCCCTCCTCCTCCTCCTCTTCCTCCTCCTCCTACTTATCTTCATCTTCCTCCTCTCCTTCTCATCCTCTCCTCCTCCCCCCCTCCCCTTCCCCATCCTCATCTTCCTTCTCCTCCTCCTCCTCCTCGGCGGCGCCACAATGGCCCCGAGCCCACGGCGAAGCAGTAGCGATCATACAATATGGGCCGGCGGAATGAGCGAAGCGATTGAATAAGAACAAAAGACCAGATCAGCGCTGGCGGCGCCCATGCATCGAGAAAGGCGCCACATGCTGGGGTCGAAACCAGCTGTGTGTAGCAGACTCCGTACCCCCCCCCCTCCCCGGTTTCCCCTACCCACCCCCTTTGAAGGGGAACGTCAGGGGGGGACCGGCTCAGGGGGTGAAACATCGACCTAGAATCTGCGACATGTCGCCGATAGCTCGGAAAGAGGCCCCCGACAGCGAAACCGCAGGCTACTTGACGGGGTGGGCCAATTGTCAGGCCCTTCTTTTTGTCTGCGATCGATGGGCAATCGGGGGGGGTCCATACAGCATATACCCTGCGGGACTGAGGGTCATGACTCTGGCCTCAGGCGGCCGTTCGAGACGATCTGGGCCCCCCTGGACACCTCTCGGCGAGGCGCAGCCGCTGGAGAGCATACCGAGGCGGGAAAACAAATTGAAACTTACGAAAACGCCCAAAAACCAGACCACTTCTGAGCCTATCCCCCCTATCGTTTCCCCTGACCTCCTCGTCCGACCCGGCGAGCCTACCCAAGCCTCCTCCTCCTCCTCCTCCTTCTCCTCCTCCTCCTCCTTCTCCTCCCCCTCCTCCTCCTCCTCCTCCTCCTCCTCCTCCTCCGCCT